TTCAGTGACTTATTTAACAATTCAGTTTTCTACATTGCATACTGCACGGACCGAACTCTGGACCCGCTTGGTTCCGCGGGGGAACCTTGGATGTTCTTTATCTGCCGGACCCGATTCTGGAGGGCAGTTTGGGAGGGCTGCTGCGGTCATTATTAGCATCATGCTGCTAACAAGACCTGCTAACAACACAACGCCGCTAACCGAACCTCTCTGCTAACAGTACCATGGTGCCAACTGAACCATGTTGCTAAAATAACCTCACTGTCATCAGAACCACTCTGCCTATTGGACCATGCTACAGTAGATTAATTTCTTTTACACTTTTGGCACCTTGTTTCTGTATTTTTGTTGCATGCTTTGAATAAATCCTAGTTTATGTTAGTTTTGGGGTCGGCTCGGAGCACGACTCTGCTCGCATTAAGCGTGTAAATCACAGCTGAACAGAACCTATGAGAATTGTGCTGCTGTTGTTCAGTGTATTGTTTAGCACTATTAGTGACTGGCATATATCTTAGATCTTTTAGCGTACCGTTTGGGCATTCGTTTAGCGTATATCTTGGCTTATATCTTAGTTTATATTTTAGATCCTTATTTACCGTTTATTTATACACGTTATATTTTTGCTGCTATTGGATGTAGCTGGGACCCTGTGCACACAATTTCGTTCCACCTCATGTACCACATGTGATGCGAACGACAATAAAGACCCTTGACTTGATTAGTTCAGTCTGGTCTTTAAAGTGCTGCTGGAAGAAGCACTGCAGCTCATTACAGAAGGTTTTTTCCTGTATAGTTTGCCTTTCTATTGTTTTGAAGTTTGTAGTTGAGTCAGCAAACTAGTTTGCTCTGCAAATGTAGGCTCACATAGAAAGTGAAACATAACAAAATACAAAAGTTACTTTCTTTACAGCATTTGTACACAGCTTTGAAATTTTATATCTGAATGAGTCGATATGAGCCTCTTTAAAACAAAGATTTTGTGCTAATGCCACAGCTTATACTCATCAAAAACTTTAAACTATGGTAATGTGTTAAAAGGAAGGTCTACATGTTTATTTTTAATTGTTTGCTTATTGAACAGAAAAGGCAGAGAGAAACCAGCCCAGCAATGCAGACACGAATCATGGTGACTCTGTTCTCTAATGCAGTGGTTCCCAACCCTGGTCCTTGAGGAACACCATCCTGCATGTTTTAGTCGTTTCCCTGCACCAACGCACCTGATTCAGTGATTTAATTACTTCCTCGTGTTCTGCAGAAGCCTGTTATTACCCATTAATTAAAGTCAGGTGTGTCAGAGAAGAGAAACAACTAAAACATGCAGGGTGGTGTTCCTCAAGGACCAGGGTTGGGAACCCCTGCTCTAATGTAATCAAGTCTTTGTATTTTAATCACACAGAACATGCAGGTCAACAAAGATTTTTGGCTTTTCCAAGTGTTTTATATCAAAATATTCTGATGAATAGAGGGGGACAAGCTTAAAATGTATTTCCAAGTTGCAATCTTGTGCTTAAGTTGTTAGTAAAAACGTTTGCTAAAGCAACAGAATGGTTGTGTTTTGATGTCTTTATAAATGTGTGTATATAAAGGAAGCAAAAACGACACTGATGACATGGATAAATTAAAATACCGGCTCTCCAAAACAAAAATTGGATTGAATTTTGTTGCTACTTTTCGATCCAATCACCATCATAGTTTATAAAGAAGACTAAATAATAAATTACACTTTTTGTTATAAATTAGTTCTGAAAAAGTACCACCAATTTTGTTGTTTCAAAATTAAAACCCTTTAGTAGTTAGGACAATTTAGCTACATTTTTTCTATTTTTACAACAAGTGATACACCAATGCCTCCCAGCACTGAGGGACTTGAAAAGTGGTTTTTAAGATGAGAGCTTTTCTGGACTGGACTTAAACAGGGAATGTAAGTAAATGTTAAGGTTGTTGCAAGATATTCAAGTGGGTAGGAGTTGCATCGTGTAAAAGAATGGAGGTAGGTTTCTGTTCTTTTTGCAACGTGACAGATTCTGGTGACTGGAGGGAGCAATTTTATCCACCACCAGGAAAAATGTAGAGCCAGTGGGAGGCCAATGGTGGTCTTGGCCACCATACGTGAATTTGCAGCCACCCTAAAATTTTTTGAAGAAACTATACTTGGAAGCAATATTCAAAACTAGAAAGCATAGTTTTCGCAAATGATCAAGGTGGCTGGTTTACATGTGGCATACTTACCATATTTACCGGTACATTTGGTTTACATGTGGCATACTTACCATATTTACCGGTACATTTGGTTTACATGGAGTCTATCTTGGATTTTGAAGTGGCAACCCAATTTTCAGAAGTGACCTTTCTTGACCTTAGATGCAGCCACACACTAAAATGGACGTTGGTTCCTCGCTCGTTTTTCCAAGTTATCCAGCTCAAAAGAAGGACAGAGGGCATTTCTAATCCCCCACTTTGCTCTGTGATTGGAGCCAGTATAGTAGAGAAAGGTTTTACTCACATGTCTTCAGGTGTCCAGTGTAGAAGAACTTTAACCTTGCCAGAACCTTCTTTTCTCCTGGCTAATACCTGAAGAAAACAAGGAGCATTAGAAAAAGGAGCATGAGTCATTATCTAGTACAGTCCACTTGAATATTTGAAGATGATTTATGTGTGTTTCCAGGCATGTGTGTGGCACAAAGGTGTGAGATTTTCAACATCCTGTCAAACAGACCTCTCGTACAAATAATGAGGCTGCACGCTTCGAACGCGACCTGCTGGTGTTCAGGCAGAACACGTCACCATTAAAATAAAACTGTGATTTTTGTGTTCAGTGGATCTTTATTACATCTCTTTATAACACGAAGTTACACATTGACAAAATTTAGACTATCAAAATCCTAATCTCTAGAAGACCGAAACTGAAAACACAAAGATTTTTCATCAAAAACAAGTCACCCGTCTCGTTTTGGATCGTGTCAGCACCAAATAATTTAAATTTTCACCACAGTGAGGATTAAGAAGTAGGTAGTAATCTCCACTAAACCCATTTCTGTGTAATCTCTTTTGTTGTTAGTTTCTATTGGACTCTAACAGCTAAATTCTCGAACTACTGACTCAAAACTTGTTTTTTTCCTACATGTGAAAATACATCTGAGCCCGTGCATGATTTCCGGAGTAGCTGGCTCTTTAGGCGTAACATTTCATTGGTCACGCTGTGTTGGTTTATAGTAAAAGGGGTCTGGAATTCACAAATATTGTGAAAGGTTGAAAGAAAGGCTGGAAAAATATCCAAGAAAGTCAAAAATAGCCACAGATATAACCTTCTGCGTCATTCCGTTTTTGATTTTTTTCCAGAGTGCCTGTTTTTAGGATCATGACTGAGCTCACATGTGAAGAACTTGTCTTACGCCTATGAACATCTTAAAATATGTTTCTTCTCTTAGGATTCGATGAATCATCGATGGAAAATGGTTTGAGGACACAAGGAATGACGCTCCATTTGAGATGAGACACAAGACCTAGAATCTTTCCTCAAATGAACAATCTTTACTTTGCCGTTTCCTGGAAAAGAAAATGTGTAAATATCTTATTTCTACCAGGCCTAACTTAATTTAATAGCTCTGACCCTTTTAAGAATAAACATTTGCCAACAGATAAATTGATGATCTCACAAATTGTCATAAAAATACACCAGCAGCTGGATGTTTTAAGAAAGGCAACTGGGACATAAACATGTCTAATTACAGACATTGTTTTCATAAAAACATTTATGTTACGATGAAATAATTATTTGTTGCTGCTGGCCTGTTGCCTTCATATTAGTCTTGAGGAAGCTTTTCAAACGACAGCAAGTTGGCAAAGCAACTCTTTTGTGAGAACAAGGGAGAAAAGGAGAGCAAACCTTTGAAAACACCACGAAAGATGACAACAAGGTCAGGCATTTCACACAATAATGAAAGTGCAACTTGTGTAAAGCATACGGAAAAATATAACTATTTATTTATTTCGATGGCCCGATTTTAGCTTTGACTTTGACATGTGTTTGTTGAGGATTAGTTTCAATAAGTGTCACGATATTCATTTGTATCACAGGCTGCATGAAGGTTTTCAACATCCCACTAAAATAATGAGCTGGAATGCTGCTGCATGAAGTCTGTTCCAATAAAACAAAAACATTTTGTGGGTTATGGACTCTAAGATTAGTCTCTACTTTTCAGAGTTTGAAAATTACACTTCTACCATTGTCATCTTAGGACAACTTTATGCACTTAAGAAAAACTATGTTGATTAAGAAACCTGGTCCTTCTTCCATCATTGTTTATGCACAAGGTATTGTGGAACCAAGACCTGGCCAACAGAAGCTGCATGCACAGTTTTGTTCAGTGGAACAAGAAAATGATGGCAACATCACTTCATTTAACTAACAGCCATGCCTGCATGCAGAATTTAAAAAAGACAATCATGTAAATCTCAAAGGAAACTAGAGAATTAGCATTTCATGTGAAAATGAAGTGAATACTTCTTGCTGAAAAACAGCTGAAACTCTGGTACCTATAAACATGGTGAAATCTAGCTGAAAATGAAGAACAAGCCTAAGTTAGCAAAAGAAAGCAGAAGTGGAAATTATCTTTAAAAAGCAGAAATTTCCCCAGAACAGCTGAATAGTAGCTAAAGAAATGTAGAAAGAAGCTTAAATTACCAGAAGGAAGTGAAATGAGCAGAAATGTGCCCACTAATGTTGAAAGAAGCAGCAATGTGCACAAAAAAATATGAAAATGTATTGAGAAAAAAAAAAAAAACAACAACAGAAATTTCCCAAAAACAGCTGAATAGTAGCTAAAGAAATGTAAAAAGAAGCTTAAATTTCAAAAAGGAAGTGAAGTGAGAACAAAGTCCATGCTCAATAATCCAGGTATACAATCCAACATTTTTCAGTCAGGTCATCTGGACAGTTTCTTTTTTTTGTGCTGAAACGTTTCGCCTTCGATCCAGAAGGCTTCATCAGTCAAGGAAACACAACAAAACTGATTCTTCCCCCAACAGCTTACTCCAAAGTGGAACAAACCAGTTCTGCTTGTGATAAGATGGTCTCTTTGGTACGCACCCACCCCCCCCTCCATTGTGAAGTGGAGTGAGCTTAATTGTGCTCACTAATGTTGAAAGAAGCAGAAATTAGCAAAATAAAGTTGAAATTATCCGAGAAAAGCCGAAGTTTGATGAGAACAGCTGAATAGTAGCTAAAACAAGCAGAAAGAAGCTTAATTTACCTGAAGGAAGTCAGTAAAGCATAGATATGCTGAATTAATCTGAAACAAGTTGAAATGATTGAAAAAATGTGTAATTAGCTGAAAAAAGTGAAATAAGCATAAAATCAGCTAAATATTAGCTGAATTAGCAGAAATAGCTGAATTTAGCAAAAAAGGCTCAAAGGAGCATACTAAACTGGTATTAGCAGAAATAAGTTACAAGAAGCACAAAAATGTTGGACTTAGTTGAATAAAGCTGAAAGGAGCACAAAACAGTTGAAAAAACAGCTGAAATTAGCTGAAGTAGTAGATTTTTATTTTTTTGCACAAGGAAGCTGAAAGCTGAAAGAAGATTAACCGGAGGTGAAAGTAGTGAAAGGTTGTAAACAGATCAAAAGTTATGAAAGATGTAAAATGAGCTCAATTCATTTTCATTGGGGAAGAAAAAGGCGGAAAAGGCCAAATATCTCAAAAAGCTAAAGTTGCACCAATACCAGAAGTCATCATGGCAGGCATGTCCTGAAACAGCTGAATGTTTTGATATGATGAATTGTCGACATGGCACAAAAACAGAGTAGTTAAGGAAAATATATGTGCACGTCGGACGACAGAGGAGTGAAAGCTGACATGAAGAAGAGGAGGAAAGCTGTTTACAGCCGATGAAACTGGAACGACAAAGAAAACAAAAGGAAGAAAAACTCAGGTTAAACAAAGACCAGCTGAACTGGACATTTATAATTATTGTAAGCACCTAGTTTCATTTCACCTCAAAGTATTTCTTTGTCCACTAAATTCTGTCTTTTCCACAACAGAGCAAAAGGAGCAACAACGGTTTGAAAGCACACACCTCAGGCTGTTTCACGTGTCAGGAACACGCTCAGGACGTGCTTCTGAAGCTTTGTGAAGCAACGCAGGACCGACGCAGAGCCAACAGGACCCTTCAGCTCCTGCACATGCAGCTCTGTACAAGTGCCTAAAGCCCTGCAGGCACGCCTCGGTAAGCCAAGCAGCTGTTTATGGCCTTTTTAATTAAAAATGCACAGGCCGTGTCCTCTGCTGGTGCAACGCCAGGTTAATGATTTAAAAGGGACCATGACTGTGTTTGGTAAAGCTGCAGAAAAAGAGGAGAACTTGTCTGTAAGCAGGATGAAGTGATTTGCGAGTTGAGTGGTCTGATCGTGGCAGTTGATGTTAAGGAGCAGATCGTAATCCTTTATAAACCAAAGGAAGTAGAAGAAAATGAGGGGGGGGGGGGGGGAGCTGGAGTGCACAGGGAGTGAACAGTAGATGAGTGTGGTTTGAAAACAGGCAGTAAAACGTGCTCGTCTGAAGCTGGGGGAGGGCAGGTCTGCTCAAACTGGGTGTCTGTCTGCAGTCACAGGGTCAAGCTGTGGATGACGCAGATTGGCGAAATAACAAAAATATCCCATCATAAACATGACTGAGCTGGTCTGCTGGGTCAACAGGTCCACGAGCCAAACTTCACAGAACCCCCGCAGCTCTGCTCCATCTCCCTAAGCCTGAGAGGGTCCACTGGGGCCTGGGGGAGCACCGCAGTACTTCACCACAATCCTCCAGGGGTTCAAGAGAAACCAGATGAATGGCCATCTGCTCAGATCTCCTTCCGACTCTGACCCTCAGTTAAACCCTTTATCCAAGGATCTCTCCATTTGGGAGAACTGGCTCGTTCTCCGTCACAGTCTTCGCTCAGTTTACCTCTAATAAGTCAAGTTTGAACTTCACTTCTGTTGCTGCTGCAACATTTCTGACTCCAAGTGAAGATTGTTTAAGCAAAGCAGAAAAAAGTTCATACTGCAGCAGGAAAAACAAAACTAATGCAAACACTAACCATTCTTGAGTCAAACCGTCCTGAAGTACTTCTCATTTTCACATATATTTTATAATAAATCACAACTAAAGCAAACGGATGCCATTTGTGAACACGATGAAGAAAGATGTACGACATGAAAACATATCACACAGGCTGAATACTTGCGTGTACTGGCTTTACTTTATCACA